TTCACACGGCAGAGCATCCCCGCAAAACTAGATGAAGGCCAATCAGGGAAAGTTATGTAGCCTATAATTTTAACTTAAGTTACACAGGCTACAGCTGTGTAGCGCACAGAAGCTGTTGCTATGGTTACCATCCATAGAGCGCCTGCTGTTTACTCGCAGAGCAAGTCTTATTTCTCTCACTTGCTGCATCCTGCTGAAGCCTCCCTCCACTGCTTGTTTGGGTGGGTGATTTGCAGGCTGATCAACATCCCACCGCTCCTGTGACCCATGGTTTGACTGTATGTGTATTCAGAGCCAGTGAGCAACTTTCAAAATAATTATTATTTAAAAAACGTGCGATAAAATAATTGTCGGCGTTAATTAATCAGTGCGTTAACGCAATAATGTTTTTTGCATATCACCGCAACCACAAAGGTCCTTGAGCATACAGTCATAAATGTCTGCATAAAATATTAGGTTGATGGGTACAGTAGAATGCAAGTGTGTGGAAGATGTAGCACAATTTTAGGTTTATGATGTGGTTTGATAGCAGTCATATTACCCATTATTTACATTAGGCTACATTTTTCTATTAAAGGTTCAGTGTGTAAGATTTAATGGCATCTAGCGGTGAGGTTGCAAATTGCAACCAACTGTCCAGCCTACCACTGCCCCCTACCCTTTCAAAGAGCGTAGGACAACTACGGTGGCTGAAACAGCACAAAAGGTGTCTCTTCTGAGACAGCAGAGAGTGGCCAGTCAAGAAATGAGGGTTCTTTAGGTAGATATATCAAGAAATTATATTTACTTAATTATTCAGTAAAGCCAGATGTTTTTGACAGATAACAAATGTAAGCCAAGAGTGTGTAACATAGTCACTGTTTCTGAACAACAGATAAACCACATAATAATTAAAGTTTACAAAGGAATTTTACACATTACTTCTCTCTGTGATTATGGACCATCTCTAAAACTGACCGTCAACAATAATATGTGGCCCACGGTAAGATTATGGTGCTTTGATAGCGGCAAAAAAAATTAATAAATAAAATGAAATAGCTCTCAGTCATGACAACAAGAGTTACTCACATCACATCACTTCCTCTTTAGTGGTCTTGCCTGTAAAATAAAAGCACGAGAAGCTTGTTTGCTGTCAGGCTTTCATTGGAGTTGAATTGAGAGCTTTTACTTTGAACACTCTTAAAAGACATTAAAAGAGTCAGTTGCCTGCTTGACACACCTCTAAAAGAGCCCTCAAAAAACGTGAATCCCCTAAATGTCCTCTGCCTGGAGATACTGAGGAAATGAAAAAGCGTCGGTTGATGTATGAGGATCAAACACCAAAACACACACACTGCAACACATGTTTTATTGTGAGCCAGAGAAGCAGTTGCTGCAGAATCAATTTGTTGAAGAGAAAAAACAAATATCCCAGGGTGGGCGTGATAATCCTGCACGTTACCCACTGAGCTAACCAAACACTATAACAATAGTTTCAAATACTATGTCTTACATTCTCACCCACCATCTAATGGTTGAAAAAATTGCTCCGATGCAAAACTTACTGTCCGACCCCTGCTGTATATTATTTCTTCTTCTTCGAACTTACATATTCATCGTAGTGATGAGCGTCTACACTGCCAGAATTCTACCAGAACTAGAACAAGACGATCGTAATGACGAAACGCGTTCTGTAGCGCTGTTTGTCCGTTTTGGGCTACTGTAGAGACATGACAGCGCAACATGGCGGTGTCCATGGAAGGGGGGACCCGCGGTTATATATATATATATAGCTATAAATGGCTCATTCTAAGGTAATAAAAACATAACGGTTTATTATGTAAAGTCTTTACACACCACTGAAAACATAGTTATGGATCTTATATTGCATTTCTGTCAAAAGAGCATCAGAAATATTAGACACTGGACCTTTAAGCCAACATGCCACAGTCCAAGTGCTGCATTTGTAAATATTAATGAGTTTTTTTTATTATGTCATCATATTCATGCATATATCAAATATGTATTTATAACCGTAGAAATGAATTAACACATAAAACATACGCATAAAAATGTGGTGCTATACTGCAAATTTGACTACTGTTGAATATTAAACTACAACTGTCACAACTATATCATCATTATAACGGCAACATCAAAGTCATTCCTAGGAGTAGTCATCCTTGCTGAAAGTAAGTGTAAGACACTGCTCTAAGATAAGAGTGTTACTTTTAGCGTGTTTCCTAGTAGTAATGTTAGATTCGTAAATGACTTGTTCTTTTTGAACGACTCATAAAGAGATACAAGTTAACTGATTCACAAGCACCAGTGAATCCAAAATCCTGCTTCTGTGTGCTGCATGCACAGTTGTGTGTGAGAGCCAGGTTAACTTCCAACAGGGGTGTATTAAAAAATACAGAACCAAATTAGTTATTCATCAGGAATTCCCCTAGTGGTGGGTCAATGAAACAAACCGGATTGCTTTTAAAGAACCACTATTTAGGTGTGATTATATAAGATGTGATATATGATTATATATGATGATGATATATGATATTAGATATGGAGATATGGGTCCTGAATTCACCAGAAACTCTGTATCATTCTTTTATTTTGCTCTACTTTCTCTCCTTTTTCCTCTCATCTCACGTTTATGAAGCAGATTCATAAAGCCTTGGGTTTTTTAAAGAGGTGGTATTATGCTTTTTGGCTTTTTCCCTCTCCTTTATTGTGTTATATCTCATTTTTGTGCATGTAACAGGTTTGCAAAGTGAAAAAGCCCAAAGTCCAGCCCAAAGGGAGTTCCCATCTCCCACAGAAAGCTCTGCTCTGAACCGCTTGAAAACAGCTTGTTTGTAGTCCAGCCCTTCACTTCCTTTACTTGTGACGTCACAATGGAAACGCGTCATAAAGCTTGCCAAGCAGCTAGCGGGGTCATGCACTCCCTCAGACCAAGCTAGTCTGAGCGGAGGCCCCTTTGATTTTAGTTAAGCCCCTTTTCCACTGCACAATACCAGCTCGACTTGGCTCAACTCGCCTTTTTTTGGTTTTCCATTGTAGAAATGTTGTACCTGTACCTGTTTCCAGGTACTTTTTTTCGTATCACCTCCATCGAGGTTCCAAGCGAGCTGAGGGATACTAAAATGTAACGTGAAAACACAACAGACTTCTGACTGGTCAGAGAGAATATTCACTATTCACTGCATCATCAGTTTTGTATTTTACAGTTTTCGTATGGAATTTCATCACTAAATCCACTTCTGAGAAGTTCTGAGGTGAGAAATCAGCTGTGTAGATTTCGAATATTGACAGTTTTAGAGAAGTGATGACAGAACAAAAATGTGCTTGAATATTTTTGGAGTTAAGGAGCTCCGCAAGTGGCTGCGGGGGAAGCCTGCGCCAATCTGCGGGAGGAGCGTGTGAGGCCGGCCAGCCGCCCGCTCACAGAGCCCTCTGCTCCCGCCGTCACACAGACCGCTGCAGCAACAACGGCAGAGGAAAACACAGCTGGAAGGTTTTCATACCGCTTATCTGTCTTTACGTTCTGACGAATGTTGAAACGTTTTAACTTAAAAAACAGAAAGCTGTGTGTATCACACTACTTGTTTCTGACGACCCGCCCTTCTCTGCTTCTGATTGGCTAGTAGTCCTTACCTGGGAACCGCGCATTTGCAACTTCCAACAAATATTTTGTACAAGTAAGATGCATCACTCTGTAGCTCAAGAGCGAAAAAAGGAAAGAGTAGCTGCAGCAATGTGCAGTATGAGAAAAATATGGTGTTTGTTGAAAATTAAACCATGTAAACCTGTTCTGGTACAACCCCTAATTAAGATTTTGAACCTGAGAATTAGCATAATACCATGTCTTTAACTCAAGTTGAAATATTAACTTGCGTGAACATGTCTTCATGTCAATTTGTGCTACGCCAGTCAAACTTGCATCATTCCAAAGACTTTCTTTTTGGATTTTGTAATTGGTGATCTTTGATTAGATTATTGGGAGCTTAATGACTTTCACTGTGTGTTTGGGCTCGTTGTCATGCTACAGAATAAATTTGGGCCAATCAGAAGCCTCCCAGATGGTACTGTATGATGACTAAATATCTGGCTGTATTCTCAGCATTGAGGAGACCTTTCATTCTGACCTAATCCCCAACTCCGTTTGCAGAAACGCAGCCCCAATCTTGCAAGGAACCTCCACCATGCTTCACTGTTGCTTGCAGACACTCATGCTTGCACCGCTCTCCGTATTGTTTATGCATCTTCAAAAGAGCTTGGACAGCACAAATGGAAACCCCTGTCTGCCTTGAAATGTCTGCCTGGGAGAGAGCTTGCTGATGCAGTGTAACTACCTTGTGTCTTGTTGCTGTGCTCAGTCCATAGTAAACTGTCTTCAGCATCCTCACCTTGTTAGCTGAGTTTGGCTGTTCCTCACCCAGCTGGATTCCTCCTTCACAGCGGTTTCTGTTTCACTTCACATATTGAATTGGTGATCATTAGCACCTGTTTGGTGTAACTGTTTAATCATACACATGATGATATGCCTACAGAATCCCTGACTTTGTGCAAGTGTACCTAAAAGAACTGGGTGGTCACACCAAATTTTGAGTTGATTTAGATTTTCTTCTGTTCACTCATTTTGCATTTTGTGAATTTTAAATAATTTTTAAAATTTTCCACACCTGCCTAAAACCTTTATTGTGTGTGTGTGTGTTTGTGTGTGTGAGTGTGTGTGTGTGTGTGTGTATGTGTGTGTCTGTGTGTATGTGTATATATATATATATATATATATATATATACACACACATATATATTAATACAGGTATATAAAGTCAACAAGTCCAATTTAAATTAAGAGTTTGTAACTGCCCTTTAGAAGAACACATGGAAGCATTTCCTGATGTGATACTCTGATTAGTAGGATGACATAATGTCTGTGCCTTCCAATAAAACCATTAAAAGTTATGTTATAAAATGACAGAATTTTGTTTTATTATGTGACAAAACAATAATAAGCATTTGGTTAAGGGAGGGGAATGATCGTGGTCATGGTTAATAGAAATCCAAACTGACTGTTGGTATGAAACAGTGTTAACATCAGATGTTTTGCTGACAAAGTAAAACCACAGGTGAAAATTTTTTTTGTGAGCCTTTGTAATTTAGAAAGTAACTCAACATATACCATTATATCATTTTTTTCTGTTATTTGAGTCATGTTATACAAATGATACAGAAAAATTCTGTCTCAATTTGCAAAGACAAACCTCAAATTAAAACAGATCTACCAACAGATACAGCAAATACAGAAACGTGCACAGCAAAAAAATGTGACATAATTTGAAAGCCTGGAGACACATTAATAATTTGACCTTCTTCTTTTGTGGGTCATGTCCGTCTTTTTGGGGCCCCATACAGTGTGTCCCCCTACAACACACTGAGTGTTTTTTTGATTGTATTCAATTTAATTGTTTTAAATCTGTGTTACTGAAGTGTAAAACTAGCACTCTGGCATACTATGAAATTAGGCTAGATAACACTTGTTTTCCCCCAAAATACCAATTCTTTCACAATTTTGAATTGAACTTTGTGTTAGACTAATCCGCAGAACAACTGCATATAAAATAGACTAGATCAATAACATTTAAACATTTGAAAGAGAGATTTAGAAAAATGTGGTGACATTTAAACAATCTCTCTTTAGTACAAATAAGTACAAATAAATATACTATTTAGTTGAAAATACATCTCCTGATATTATATAATGCCCAATAGCACCCCTTAATTTCCAAATTTCCTTCCAGCCTCCATCCTATGTTTGGTCAATTATTGTTTATTTTGTACATATTTAATAATTAATTATGCAAGATGTCCAAAACGGACAACAACAACAAACAACTTTGGAATTATATGTAAAAAAAAAATTGGAACTTTTAAAGAGTTGGTTTGATTTTAACAACTACTAAATGTCAAACATAAATACTAACATGATAGTATCCAAAAGAAAGCCACTTTACATCCTTGCCCACTTGAAAACAGAAACTTAGTGGGGTCCTTACAGTTTTTTTTTTTACACTTTTTCATGGTCAGTTTTCTCCCAACATGTCAGCTAGCTGGTCTAGCTGCTTTTTGTTGCTCATCCATTAGTTGTTTTTTAGGGTTTCTCAACTTTATGGCCCATGTCCCAAAATTATCATGAACCCTGAAGAATTGACATGTCAACTACATTTTTGTATGGCACAATGGGACATTACATACAATGGATGACATAATCAAAACCCATGTAGCTTTGTTTTTATAACGTATATCTCTCCTTGTTGAAAAGTTTGTCTTTAGGTCGCGGCTACTTCTGATTTGTATGTCCTGTTCTGGTTGAATGTTACACTGTGGTTGTACGGGAGGTATATGTCCCATTGCGAAACACCATATCAGAAGCCATACAGTCCTTGGGAAAATCCAGAGGGCTACATGTTGCTTGTCTCTTCAAAGCTACAGCACAGTAATCCACCTGCTCCGCATCCAGCCCAGACTCCAGCCACCGGAAACACACAATACGCTGGAATGACCGCCGGAAATTGTCAGAAACAAAGCCGTACAAGATAGGATTGGCGCCACTGTTTGCATAACTGAGGATGACAAAAAGCTGAGTGACCATAGGGTCTGGGGGCCTGTGGAAAACGCTGATCAACTGGACGATGTAAAAGGGCATCCAGCAAAGAACAAACACTGCCACGACTAGCAGCACCATGCGGGTGATCTTCTTCTCCGAGCGCCGGCGTTGAAGCCAGCCTGCTTTTAGCCCCACTGCTCTCATCCTGGCCACCATTAGACAGTAGCATAAGCAGATAGCTCCGACCGGCAGCAAAAACCCCAACAGGAAGGTATAGACTACAAACGCCTCTGACCACGCTGGTTCAGGCCACAAAAAGTTACAGTCCACGCCACCATCCTGTGCTGGGACAGTGTCTGCGAAGATAATGATGGGCAGGATGACTAAGAGTGACAGCCCCCATACACACACGTTGACTACTTTGGCGACAGTGGGTCTGCGGTAGCGGGCAGCCTTGATAGGGTGGACCACTGCTACATAACGGTCCACGCTCAGCACAGTAAGGCAAAAGATTGATGTAAACATATTGATACCATCTACACTGAGCACCAGCCTACACATGAGTGACCCGAAGGGCCAATGACGAACAGCAGCTGATGTGGCCAGAAAAGGAACACTTAACATGAACAACTCATCAGCAATTGCTAAATTGAGGATATAAATGTTAGTGGCCGTTTTCATTTTGGCATATTTCAGAATGACATAGATGACCATGGCATTGCCAGTAAGACCTACACAACAGACAAGAGCATAGATAGAGGGGATGATGATTTTACTGGCTTCAGGCTCCTGGTAGTAGTCTTCGTAGTCCATGCTTGTGTTATATGGCAGCCCTGTTGGATAGGATCCGTAGTTCTGGCTCCGATTGAAATCCATGATCCCTTTTGGTGGGTATGTGATGCTAACTCTCAGTTTGAATGATGGTAGCCAACGGAGCTATAGAGAGCTGAAGTGAAACCAACTTTGGGCTTCTTGGCATTTGTAATACCACGGCTTTCTAGCGCCAGCCCTAAAACATAATCTTGATCAAAAGTAGATTGTGCTGCCCTCTATGTTTGTCTAGACACGGAAGGTCATTTTTTTGTGATGTTGGTGTTTATTCAGTAATTCTGTTTTAGCAATCTTTCAGGAACACCATTTCTCATAAGCCCAAGCCAGTCAAGTGGCGGCAGCTATGAAAATATACAGGAAGTCCTGAATGGCAAAGAAAAAAAAAATTCTACTCTTTCTGACACTATGGAAAGACTTCTGGGGAGCTGTGGTTTTTTCAATGCTATTGTTACATTCAGTTAAAATCCTGAATTCAAATTCAGAGAGTTCTGTAGTTGAATTTATCTAAATCTCAGATATGCATGATAAAATGAAACCTGGATGAGAGATTCTTTTGAGCTATAGAAGGTAGTGAAACAGCCAACCTGGAAATAGTGTCAAGACTTCAGCTCTCTCTTGTCCTTTTGGTTTCTATGACAATCCACAGATGTTCATATTACAAAACAACAGTTTCAACAGTCAAATGTTCCCTCTTCTTAAGTTCATATGTCTTCAAATCTCCTGGGTCTCTTGTGTCCAGACAACCATAATATTTATTTTCCTTTTTGCTATAGAATAAATGGGGTATGCAGCAATTGCTCTCAAGTCACCCTGTGCACCCTGAATCACAGGATTCTTAGTAGGCAACCTACTAAGAAATATACATCAGTCAGTGCAATGTTCAGCAGGGTAAGACCACTTTGTCACACAGTACAAAAAAAACACTCCATGTTTTGATAGGAACGGGGCATTCTGGCAGTTCAAATCACGTCGAGTGTCCATTTAAGGGTGGTGTTGTTTGGGTCCTGTGCTCATGTTGTCTCGTTGAGAGTCTCAGCCGTTGCAGAGTGCAGAGAAACCACAAGGTTCCTGCCGAAGCTTCCCTTCAGGATACATTATGCTCCCATTTTCTGTGACCTGAATCATAAAAGCCTGCAAGAAAACAAAGAACTGTCACTTAGTTTGCCTATGACAGACACCAAGCACAACATCAAAGTACAAGTGAGTCATACCTAAGAGAATCTGACACTGCATTAGTTTTCCTAATATGTCACTGCATTTACCATGAGCCTGAAAACATTGCTTTAAATTGTCTGAGGCAAATTATTTTAATAACAATTACCTATACAAAGTAAACACATGCACCACTAATTCTTAATGCATTGCACATGCAAAACAATAAGTATACTATTTCACAGGCTCAGAATCTTCTAGACTGTCGTACAGGATGTCTGCAGCAATACTGGTTACTTATAGGCAATGGGTTGAATTAAGAAGAACAGTTTTAGAATGTGGCAAATACCCCTGGAAACCTATGTTAATCCCACACAACCACATACTTTTTTTTTTTTACAGGTCTCATTTTCATGTTGAAAATCCTATTTAGGGGTTGTACCAGAACAGGTTTACATGGTTTAATTTTCAAAAAACACCATATTTTTTGTCATACTGCACATTGCTGCAGCTCCTCTTTTCTCCCTGTGTTGAGGCTTGGGAGTTGCACATGTGTAGTTCCTAGTTGAGGACTACTAGCCAATCAGATTCAGAAAAGGGCTGGTCAGCGATAGGCCGGCAATAGCCAATCAGAAGCAGAGAAAGGTGGGTCAGCGAAAAGACTGTAAACAGGTTCGATTCAGCTGTAGGCTACATGTTGCCGACCAGGTTGGCAATTTGGACTGGAGCAAGAGTATAAATCAATATAGACAAAACCCATAATACCACCGCTTTAACATCCACACACCGATAGCACAGCCACTGGGAGCAATTTGGGGTTCAGTATCTTGTCCATGGAAACTTCGACATGCAGACTGGAGGAGCCAGTGATCGAACCTATGGTAATCGAAAGTAAGCTGAATGTCTGTGGGCAAGTCATTTAATATTAATTGATACACAGAGCCAGGTTTAATACCAACATGTGCCTGTGCCAGGAATTTGAATTGATTCACCTTAAAGTCAATAGCAGACATTGTTCTGAGATGTATATTCTCACCACAAGACTTATTTTCCACTTAAATACCAAAAACTCATTTGCCTCATTTGAATGAACCTTCAACCTGTTTGCATCTCTTCTCCCACCTGTGTACTGTGCATTCTACACTGGACACCAAAATACTAAACAGATGGGTAAGAGAGTTTCAAGACCAGGAAAATACCAGTCAAAGCGCTGCTTGTGGTCATGCATAGCTAACTAGCTAGCTAGCTAGCTATGCATGATGATAACTTCTCCATTTTTAATCTTGCCTTCAAAGCCCTGAATGATCGATTGTTTGTACAAGCAGGAAAACAGCTGTCACTGATTAGAAAAGCAGACTTAATCGCTGAACAAATCTGAGATAATGTGGCTGGTGAACCTGGCTAGACAAATATCACGCAATGTAACGTTTCATTTAAAAATGCACCCCATTGCTTAGCTACTGACAAGAAACGGTGTCCATCAGGGTAGTCCATCAGTGGTTTAGACCTGGATGAATGATAACATTTCCATTATTCCAAGATAACATTCAATTATTTTTAGGAATGTTGTTCACCAGGCTAAATGGCTCCTCAGGCTTCAGGTCTGAGCAGGCTGGCTGCATTACATGATGCAATTGCATGAAAATATTGTGTTGATGTAGTTTTTAAAGAAATAGTTCTTTTATGAAGTCTTTCCAGTCGACGACCAGAGGCCTTCATGGAGTGGAGTTCGGTGGTGTAGGAGCAAGAGAATCAAGACTAAGAGACAGAGCAGTGTTGAAGTGCTGCCAGGGTGTCTGCTGTGGTTAGAGTTCTTCTTTTGGAGGCCAGGTGGATGGCTAATAGTTTTGTAAAACTTGACTAGAAACTTGCCAACTGACTTGATGTTTCTCATTACACTTGAAGTGTAATAGTACGTTTAGTACTTTGGGGGGGTTGGGGATAATAAAGAGGACAGCATGAGGATCAGAGACAGCAAGGTCCAGGCAGGTCCAGGCGGAAAGGTGTGGGTGTAGGTAATGTTGGAGAAACTAGCAAAAGATTTTGAAAGTTGTCCAACAGGAAAAATCCCACCCCCTTTAAAGCCACTCCCCCAAAACACAGCACTATCATGCTGTCTCATTGTTTTGTGGTGCAGATGAGCATAATACGCGACAAGAATGATAGCTGACAAGCAGAGACAGGAGCGTGACAGTCTTGACAAAGTAATGGCCACATCCAGTTAACATCCAGACCTTTGTGAACGGCACATCCACATTACAGCCAACATTAGTATCCCATTAAAATCAGAAAAGGTCCTAGCTGTAACTGCTGACATGTCAATTTCCCAATCACCCTGAAGTATTCACTGAATCCCTCCTCTATGCTTTCTGCTGGTCTGTTAACATCTTCTCAGCAGAATGACCATGACTGTTTGCCACAAATGAGGTCACTGGGATAGTGACAGCCTTGTGGGATTACATCACCTTGCTCCTACTCCACAAATTACGTTATTATCCCATTTAGCATTGTGCTATGTGGGTAATGTAATGCCACAGATGACTATATAATTTACACTGCTCTACATTGCCTGAGAGCTTTTTTTCCTATAAATTTAGTGTTTTCTTATTTTGTTGAAACAGAATCTTGGTTTTCCTCTTGTTCGCACAAAGCGGCAATAAACCCCTATCCACTTGTAGAGGTTCGCTCTGCACAGATAAAGTACTGACTGGTGCTGATTTTGAGGACTGATAGGATGTAACATGTTAAATGAAACACCACAAAGTAAGTTTCACTTTTATAAATCATAACTCATTTGAAAGCTTTTCACACCCAACCTGGAAAACACTGCAGGTATTTGTTATAGTGTATCGTGCTCCTGGTCCATATTCTGAATGTTTATCTGAATTTGCAGAGTTCTTATGAATTTTAATCCTTAAAACAAATAAAGTAATTATTGTGGGTGATTTCTAATATTAATGTGTTCGTTGACAATGATAGCCACAAACAAAATTTTTAAGGCTTTTCTAGGGAACAAAAAAGCTGTGTCAATAGTAATTATATTCAATTAATAAGTAAATGTTCCTCATTCCTCCTCCTCGAAACATTTTGTAAACACTGTTTTCTTTGATGGTGCACTTAATAAGTGGGGGGTCTGGTGGTCCTCCCCCAGAAGATTTTGAGCATTAAAGACTTAATTTCCTGTATTCTTGTAAAAAAAAAAAATTGCACCAATTTATGGCGGAAATGTTTTTATTTATATAAAGGGAAACACAAAATTCAGGTGGCAGGTGACAATTCAAAATATAAAAATATATCAGCATGAGTTAGTCTTCCCTCCTCTTTGTGTCTGTTGTTTGGGGAATTAACCTCTTTAAATGTGATTGTGGCACCTTTTCACCTCAATGATAAATTAATTCATTTTAATTCAGTTATTAACTTCTTGGCCTTTAAAAGGCTCTACTCGGCTCTGCATTGCAGATAGTAGCCAGAGATAGTATGTAGCTTGTCGTCATAGCAACGCCACACACAACTGCCGCGACGTAATGTTCAATGCGACACACACACCAGCGATCCACACAGCTGTCTCTTTTTTAAGTTAAAACGTTTCAACATTCCTCAGAATGTAAAGACAGATAAGCGGTATGAAAAGCTTCCAGCTGTGTTTTCCTCTGCCGTTGTTGCTGCAGCGGTCTGTGTGATGACGGGAGCAGAGGGCTCTGTGAGCGGGCGGCTGGCCGGCCTCACACGCTCCTCCCGCGGGTCACAGCAGGCTTTCCCTGCAGCCATTCGTGGAGCTCCTCAACTCCAAAAATATTCAAGCACATTTTTGTTCCACCATCACGTCTCGTAAAACTGTCAATATTCGAAATCTACACAGCTGATTTCTCACCTCAAAACTTCTCAGAAGTGGATTTAGTGATGAAATTCCATATGAAAACTGTAAAATATAAAGCTTTCTGTTGCTGGCCTCTGTCTGGTGCAGCAATGATGATGCAGTGAATAGTGAATATTCTCTCTGACCAATCAGCAGTCTGTCGTGTTTTCACGTTACATTTTAGTATCCCTCAGCTCGCTTGGAACCTTGACGGAGGTGAGGTGATACGAAAAAAAGTACTTTGAAGCAGGTACAGGTGCAACATTTCTACAATGGAAAACCAAACAAAGGCGAGTCGAGCCAAAGGGCCTCCGCTCAGACTAGCTTGGTCTGAGGGCGTGCCTGACCCCGCTAGCCGCTTGGCAAGCTTTATGACGCGTTCCATTGTGACGTCACAAGTAAAGGAAGTGAAGGGCTGGACTACAAACAAGCTGTTTTCAAGCGGTTCAGAGCAGAGCTTTCTGTGGGAGATGGGAACTCCCTTTGGGCTGGACTTTGGGCTTTTTCACTTTGCAAACCTGTTACATGCACAAAAAAGAGATATAACTCAGCCAAAAAGCACAATACCACCTCTTTAATTGGGAAATGTGCTGTGCCCCCCCACTACTCAGATGCTTAAAGGGTGCCTGTATGTGTAGCATGGGGAAATTGAGAGAGTTTTCATTTATGCAAATCTACTCCTAAAGCACAGGTCTAAAAATATTGTTAGGGTTTGGTCGTGTTTTTATCCTGCCTGCTTGTGTCTGTGTGAGTATTTATTGTCTGGTTTTCCACCTTATGTTTGCCAGGCTGTCGTCGTACATGTCATGTGCATCTGTCTGTAATCCCTGCCTCACTTGTATTTGTCACCTGCCTATTTCACACTATATGTTTGCTGTCCTTGGATTTGGGTTTGTTGAATCTCACTTGCTTATTCATCTGGATTATTGTCTTTTGTTTTTCTGTGGATTGTTGCCTTATTTGGATTTACTTTGTTTTGGAACAGCCTGTTTTGCTTATTAATCCAGTGAACTGATTCTGCAACATGTAGTGTTTCTGCGCTTGGATCTAAACTCTGTCTTTCATGCCTCTGCACTCTGTACCTGTCCTGACAAACATGGCAAAAGCCAATCATGCTCATTTT